TCAAAAACAAGCTACTGTAATTTTATTGGTTTATTATAGGGCCACGTGTTTCCGAGTTGCAACGTCAACAAACAATGTGTGACCACGAGAAGACGCGCGCGACTCGCGCTTGTTGCAGTTGCAGTCGCCTGCGCGGCTAGAAATCTCAGTGTGACCAGGGCTTAAGGGGCATCCTGGACTACTTGAATAGAAAGATTAGAAGTATGAAATAATCTAATAATCTTAATCTTTGTTGTTGTTTTTTGCCCAGGCAATGCTGGGCTCATCTGCTGGTAATAATATAAAAGATAAATGATGCAAACTGCTTTCGTGGTTTAAATAAAAATATCTAACTTCAGAAAAACTATTACTTGTTTACCTATTTTTACCAAATTTATTGGTAAAAAATATTGATAAAAATACTCGTAAAATATAAAAACTGCCATTGGTTCTCGACATCATTTTCTACTTTCCTGCACAACCTTGCCAGGTGATGTCATGAAATCACTAGGTGTATGGTGCACAGGAGCTTGATATTCTGCTGTTTTTCTTGAAGCCTGCTTTGTGATTCAATTTCACACTGAATGCCAAAATAAGTAGGCTAGGGTTTTTATTACTACTTTATTAATACGTAATATCACTTCAATAGTTTTTTTTTTTTTTTTTTTTTTGTTTACTAATGATAAAGTAAAAGAGGAAATTGTTCTTGAAACTTAATAAAAATATCACCAAATGGTGATTTTGGTGCTATGTTTTAAATGATTGATTACCCTCAGCAAAACAAAGAATTAAAATATTCAAATTGTCATACTGTTAGCTGCTTTGACAAGACTACATTATTTTATTGTCTTGAATTTCATGTACAGTTTGTGTTTTAAATTTAGTCAGTCAGAAGCATGACAAGGCTCAAATTCCCATTGGGTTATATGTAATGTTGATGACAGTGATGTGCATTTACTGTTGATTATAGATATAGCCAAAAGACCTATAATTTTTCAATCAGAGAAACTTCAAACTCAAAAGGATTATAATACTATTGGCATTAAATATGATCACAACTCAACTGGATGAATGACAAAAATCTTTTTTGAAGACTTTAATCAAATTTAATTAAGAGATAAAAACTAAAAATAAACATTTTGCTAATTTTAGATAATTTTCCTGTGCATTACAATCTACAACTTGTAAACACTGAAGGGTGCATTTACTTCTGAGTTAGCAGTGCTAATTCTGATAACCGGATGTGACGTCATTAGCACGTGTATTTGTGCTTGCTTGTCCAATTCGAAAGTGAACACATACGCTAACAAGAAATATGGCGGTTTCCAGCCATATTTCTTGTTAGCGTATGTGTTCACTTTCGAATTGGACAAACAAGCACGAATACACGTGCTAATGACGTCACATCCGGTTATCAGAATTAGCACTGCTAACTCAGAAGTAAACGCACCCTGAGTTTTTATAATGTGCAGGACAATTATCTGAAATAAGCATAATGCAACTGTTTAACGGTATTCAAAGAACACAACTTCAATTGTATGACTGTTGGATATGGATATCATTTGTGATTTTAAACATTACTATCATAAGTAACTTGTGAAACAAATATTAGCTGAGATTGTAAATGGCAGTGACAGTGTCAACACAAAATGTTGACACTGAATCCAAAATTAAATAAAATCCAAAATTATAAAAAGTGTTTTCATAATATAACCAGAATAATTATAATTATAAGCAAAAATTCATTTGACAACACATTAAGTTATAAAGAATTTTACAATTTTTAAAAATTTGGATCATCAAAACATATTTTTGCAAAAAAATATTTTAATTGTTTATTAATATGAACAAAATTGGAAATATCTGAAAAACATAAATTTAATGGTACTTATGGGTTGAGGACATAAGTCGGAAATAGTGTTTTTTCCGAATAATGCAATTTTTTATTTGTCAAATTTAATACAATTGTTAAATTAAACAATAAATTACGATTTATAAAGATATAACAAAATCTCACAAATTCTAATAATAAACCACTTGAATATGCAAATTGTTTTGTAGTGTATACAGCAAATATGGCAAATAGGTGATATCTATAATCATCCTAATTAATTTTTTTTCATTTTTACAACCTTATCAGTAAATTTTTTTCTTTTTAGATTTAAATTTACTAGTCTATTGTTATTTTGATATTTTCATACAAAATCGCGACTTTGATCACTATTTCTGACTGGTGTCCTCTTAACCCGTAAGTACCAATTTAATTGTATATTAATTATAAAACATATTATTCTTCTCTTAGAATAAGATCAAAAGAAGTGAGAAATAAAATTAGAAGAATGTTTGGAAAAAACTGGTGTATTTTTTAATTATATGATTAACTTTTATATGTTTAATGAATAAGACTGATTTTGAAATATTTTACAAATGATTTAAGACTGTTAAAGTTGTTTCATGATTCTATTTTAAATTTTAATAAAATCTTTTTGGCCAATAAATATGGAGTTGTTATAACTTGAAGAAGCTGTTTATTAGATTAAACAAAATCTGATAAAGAAACAATTTTAAAATTATTCAGACTTTCTGAAAATTGTGAAAAAAAAAATTGAGATATTATTTCTTATGAATTAATTAATGTTATTAGTTCATAAGTGCATACCAAGTTCGAATCTTAAGAATCTACTGGACTCTTAAGGTTCTTGAGTGTGAAGTATACATTCCAGTAATCCTGTAAGAAATTGTTTTAAGTTCAGAGATTACAATTAATTAATTTTTTTTATTTGCTTTTCATATCTAGTTTATTTTTTAGAAATATTGTGCATAAATGTGTAATATATATACAAGTTATTGTATATATATATACTATCTATATATACCACGCCCTTTACTTTTTTCATATTATAGGAAATAGTCATACAACTATGTAATAAAAATATTGTCACACATGTCTATGCTGTACCATTATATAACATGTAAGGTTTTTATGTTATTGTCAACCCGCGTTTATGTTAAATCCTACTTACCAATGTCGTGAAACTGACCTTGTTTTTTGTAATTTTAACAGCACTGAAGAGGGGTTGGGAATACAAGCCAACCGAAAATGCATCTGAATTTTAAAAATATATTCTTTTAAATAAACCGTAACATTTTTCTAACTAATTGCTGTTTGATCGTCTACCAAAATTATCGTTTGGATTACAAAGACGCTACACACAGAATTTTTATATTCTGTTTGGTTAATGCCATTCCTGTTTGTAATTTAAATTTGTTTGGAAAAAACATTCAATTTGTATTTGTGCCTGAAGACAATGTTCATAATGGCATTGAAAGTGCTCTCAGAGAAATTTTATTTCTCTGAGAGCACTTTACTACTTAACGCCTTTTTTGTGTAGAGTTTTTCTCTTCATGTATGTAGAAAATTCCATTGCTATTGTGAAATTATGTATGTAACATATGAATTCTATTTCAGGACAATAAAGAGATATTACAAAATACAGTCGACCCCCCCNTTCATCTGATCTACAAACAGAGAATATATTATATATCTTTGTGTAAAAGAGAAACATGCCTCTTGTACCCAGCAGTGATGAAAGCCTAATTTATATATTATGGGCGACAGAAATATGAAACATATTTACATATTTAAATACATTTTATATGTTATAGTGAATAATACATGCAATAATTAAATAGAAATACTTTTCATCTCAAATTATAACTAAATATTAGAAGCAATTAGAAAAAAAAAACATTGATTGGTTTCTTTCGAATCGATTTCTAGTAAAAAGGGCCAAACAATAGAAATAAACGGACTAAATATAATTAACGGGTTACAGTTTTTCAGTTCTTCTTTATTTTGACTGTTTTTACAGCTTTCCTATTTGTGCTTATTCAATATTTTACTTTTCAGATCTATGATAACTTCATTTCTATTCAAAAATTTTCTTCTATAAAATTTCCAGTAGAATACAAGTATAAGGTAAAGTATCTTTAAAACGCGGTAATATTCGTATATTGTATATTTATACAAAAATTAATTCATATGCATTCAGGTGGTTTGTTTTATGAAGAGATTCAAAGGTTCTTCTATGGGACTGTCTATTGCAGGGTTTTTCTACATTAAAAAAAATTTTTTGTATCGGGTAAGTTCCACTACGAATGAAAGTTAGTAAATAATACATTAAATTGTTTTTGTTGTTTTTTTTACAGGTTGGAAGCGCATTATATTCCATTTTCTCTTCAGTAATACAAGTAACTAGAGTGATGAATAAACACTATTCCTGTATAACTCTCGGCGATGTTAACGTTACGTCTGATAAAATAAATTTTACATTTATGAATGAGACAACACGCGAGTAAATTTCTTCAGTACTCTGAAATAAATAAACAAACTCTGAGATCTTCTGAGAAAGTTATCACATTTCGGATTTAATTTATTTATCGCGCATTTTTGTGCTACAAGTAGCCGAGTGGATAAAATCACCAAACAATGACAGTATCAATAGTTATTTGTTTGTATGCGACAGACTAATAAATTGGACATGTAGAATGTTTCGTATTATAATTTGTGACTATTACATATATAGGAAGATTTGCCCATAGAAAGTTCTTCTAAGAGAGATTAGTTTTGCCAGGTAGCGTTGAACTTCGTTGCTCTTCATTAACCTTATCACACTATACGATATTTGACCAAATTTAGAGTATTTTAACCGTTTTCAATTAATATCAACATTAACTGTACATTTTAAAGAAAATCTATTCAATCCATCAAGACATTATTACATATATATACAGTCGACCCCTATAACACTGTTGATAATTCCGTTTTATATGAATTCCATGTTGTACGAGTCACTTAGATTTTACAAATACTATAATATTCTTGGATAATAATTATTATGTGGAAGGTAAATTATTTTATAATTAATAATAAAATCATTATTAGAGGGTTTGTAGAGCTTCTTGCTATTTTTGCATTTTTTTATTTATGCTTACTTTGGGCTCCAACGGTTTATCTGCAGGCATGGCCTTTTTTCCTGGGCCGTCACATCATCCACCACCTCCAGGTGGGGTACCCGTCTTCCCAATGGCAGGTCAGACAATTTAATCATTTATCTGTTTGCATGCCATATTTAAAGTCTGTTGTAACAATTATTTTTATATACATGCAACATTTATTGTTTGTGTAAATTTTATTTCAATCTTTTATTTTTTGTTGCATGCAATTTATATTGTTGTTAATGCATATTGACTATAAAGATATATGCTGACTTGCGTTTTTTGTTTTTTAATATATCTATATGTATTATAATGTTTCATTTAGCCATACATTTTAGGAAAAAAAATCTGAAAATCAGTAACTGATAATGTAATGTAACTAAAAGAGCAGGAAAACATTTTATATGGTATTATGTCATCAGTATTATGAATTGTAAGAAATAAATTACCTAGTCAACAAAAAATTATTTGAAAACAAAGCAGCAAATTAAAATAAGCAAAGCTGACATGAAATGATTTTTGTGTTTACTGATAAATTATTTTCCGATAATGATAGTTTTCACTTAGACTAATTTGAAATATTAAAATTAATTAATTTCAATTTTACATTTTAATTAAAAAACAGTATCCAGAATCTAGTTTCTAATACCATATATCAATTAGTCTTAATTATAACAGTATGTAAATAAACTGGAATATGTTAGTCATATGCAGTTATTGATATGTTCAAATTTTTTTTTCTTATTATAGTGCATCTGATATGAAATTTCTTACATGTCTATATTTTGGTTAATCATTTTTATTATATAATACAAATTATATATTTATATATTATAT